AAAGGTTCAGCAGAGTTTACAATGTAAATTTGGTAATTCTGTGCCTAATACAAGTCTCTTTGCTTAGTGGGAAATCTGTAAGTCATTAATTAGCAAGTGTCACTGCAAGGTGACAGCATGTGTTTCATGAGCTGACATATGTTTGGAACTCTCCTTACTGGTACTTTGGATTTTCTGGGATCTTGTCTGTCGTTGTGGTGCTCCAGCACCATCTGCTGGCCCTAGGACCACGATCTCGTGGCTGTGCTCCTCTGCTGGTGTCACAGGGTACAACAGACCCAGGAACTACTTTCTGCATTTCTCTGCTGCTGTGGTTCCTGCCTTGTTATCCACACCCTTCCAGCTGCATATTCAGAGGGAATGGACTATTCCCATGGAGGGGAGGTCTGGGTAGGCTTTTTAGGATAGTTTGCTCTGGGCACTGTTTCTACAGATGCCGATTCAGTAACGTGGAAGTAGAGAAAAGGGAAGTGTTGTGAACATGGCTTGTGTACTGCCAGCACAGGAGAGGTTGCTGCTGAAAGGGCTTTGTGTCCACTGGTGACTCACACCACTAGCTGGAAAAGTGCACTGGATATTCTAATGAAACCTATACCCCAACTTTATGGGAGGGCTTCTAAGAAAGCTGATCTGTGGGTTATGTGGATATATATGGATTTCAATCTGCAAATAGTCCACAGGGAAATAATCTCATTTTGGGTCTCGGTGTAGTCTTTTTTAAGTGAAAAGATGTGTATGGTTTGGCTTCTGGTTGTTTTGATTATTATGCCTTAGAGTTTTCAAAGCAGGCTGGTAGAATGAATTGCCAATTTTTAGGTGAGGTTCTGGAAAATGAATTTGAAATGTTTGTCTTCAAACACATAGCTAAAGCTTGACTTAATAGCACTGTGTGTTTAATTATATAAAAATTGTTATTAAGTTTTCTTACTGGTCACAACTGTTGTCCATTTCAACTGCATTTGGAAGGAATTAAAAAATAAGAACACCATCCTAGAGTCCTAGGATTTAGAACTAAGGACACTGTAAATAAAACTTTTATTTCCTATAATTGTTTCAAAATAATAAATGACTGGTGTGCTTTTATGTCTGTCTGAAAATTTGAAAGACCAAATAATTGATTTTTAATTATTTTTTTTCCCTGCTGTCTTGCAGGCATACAGTTGTCCCATGTGGGCACCCCATTCTTACTTGTACCCCCTGCACCAGGCCTATTTAGCTGCTTGTAGAATGTACCCGAATGTGTCCCTCCCTGTGTATCCACACAGCCCCTGGTTCCAGGAGGCTCCGCCGGCTCAGAATGAAGGCGAAGCTGTGCGACCCAACAGGCACTTTGGTGTTCAGAGCGAGGCCAGATCCAATGGCCAAATTCCACAGGTTGACAGTAGATCTCCGTCGCTGCCTCTGATTATACCCACAGCTCAGGTGTCAGAAAGCCAAGGACAGGTCTGTGTAGAAGCAGAGAATCCAGCGCAAGCTCTTCATGCAAACTACGAGGAGTCCCTGAGAGGGAAAAATATGTTCCCACAGCCACCCTTTGGACACAACCACTTTCTAGGAGCTGTTCCAATAGCGCCTCCTTTCTTTCCTCACTTTTGGTATGGGTACCCAGTTCAGGGTTTCATTGAGAATTCATTAGGGAGACCCAGTGCTGTCATGTCACCTGAGGACAAAGAAGCAGCAGCTGGCACCTCTGCCAGCATGTACGTGGGCAAAGAAAGTAGCGCTCCGGTGCCCGGGGTGAACTGTGTGGAGCAGCTCCAGAAGAACAGCAGTGGTGGTGGCTCCAACACCATCCCTTTCCCTGTGGCTGGTGTGGGCAGCCAGTGTGGTGCCCCGAAAGACACTTCAGCCAGGGCACCTCAGCTGGAGCAGACTTGTTCTGTGGCTGCACCCAAGCAGAAACCAGCTGGGCAGCAGCACCACACTCCACAGGCACAGGGCACAGAGAGGCCGCCAGCACCACCCAGCTCTCAGTCACTGCTGGCAGAGCCTCCGAGAAACGAACTGAAAACCAGCATTCCCGGCCGCAAGGAGAAGACTGGTAAAGGTAGGGATTCCAAGGGTGTTAGTAATCTGCATATGGAAAGCAGGGCACAGAGAACGAGGGACGAGAGCTCCGAGGATGAGAGTGAAGTTTCTGACATGCTGAGGAGTGGTAGATCCAAGCAGTTCTATAACCAGACTTACGGAGGAGGCAGAAGGCCTAGACTGGAGAGAGGTTATTCCAGCAGGGGAGGATACCAGTTCCAAAGAAATGAGGAAGCTTGGAAAGGACCACCTGGCAGAAGCAGAGACGACAGCTACCAGTATCAACGAAACTTCAGAGGGCAGCCATTCAGGAATGACAGGAGAAGGGCAGCACTCGGAGATAATCAGAGGGGGCAGCAAGCATAGAGTGAGTAGATAATTGAGAAATTTGAAATGCAAAATACAATTTGAAGTAGCAGTTTAAAATCTTAATTTCTTTTTAGTGAAGTTCAAGGATACGTTTAACTTCTCATGAGTAAAGACTAGGAGGACGTGAAGTCCTAACATAGGGTTTTTGGGGGGATTTTGGAGTTTGTTTGGCTTAGCAGTTTTTCCTCAATGTCAAATTAGAAAAAAAAAAAACAATCTAGGTTTAGTGTTTTGGTAAATTTTTTCCCCACAAAGGTTTGCGTTTGTGATAGAAGATGGGTATATACGTTTACTAGAGTGACAAATTATAGCATTTGACGTGATTTAGATTCTAAAATTGACGATACTATTGCACCAAATATAAATGTATATTTTATCTTACAATGCCTTAGTTCTGAACTGAGCTAAAGGAATTCTCAGCCTACTGCACTGTTGTCTCTGATATGCTTCCAATCCAAAGGCCTTTCATCTCAAAAAGAAAAAATATCTGTCAAACTTGAATGTTTCTCTTGTGTGTTACACGTATGGCAGCCAGCTAACCCTGTGTCTTAGGTATGTTGTATATAGTTCTTTTCATAATCATAGGGTATATTTTTGAAATTTAAAAAGCATTTATTTGGTGAAATCAAAATCAAGACAAGCAGTCAAGAAATACCTGTGTATGAACAGATAAGAATGGCTGTTTCCACCATGGATTCTTATTAGTACTGGTGTGACTAGAATGGTGCCTATACCAACTGAATAACTACAAAGACAATAAAAATGTAGATGCTATGCATTTCCAAAATAATTCTGCATCTGTTATAATAGCAGAAGTTTTTTTAATGCCACTTTAACACTAATGCACTGACAAATCCTAGATATTTTGTGAGGAGATGCATAAAGTACGTGTTACGTTTTTTAAGTTTGTACGATTCAGCTACTGTTCAGTATTCCTTTGTTGTTGCACTGTTGATGTTTTGCATGTACAGCTCCTTGCTGGAACTACTTTAAAAAGCAAGATGGGGAGTCTCTGTGCTCTGCTCTTCAGAAGAAAGTGGCTTCTGCCTTATATTTTTACACTGTGTCAGAGTTCTGATGCTGTTTCTTCTGACCCCGATTACGATCTCTGCAGTGTTCCTGTTGCCTTTGCCGTTTGGATGTTCAGCTGTCCAGACCTGGAGAGTGCAGTGTGCACAGTATTCACTCAGCTCTGTTGCTCTGTAAAATTTACCTGTTGTGTATATTTTTATATCTCTGTATACAGTAGCATAGGTGATGGTACCCCTTCATTCGTGTCTGAGATTGTGCACCCTTGGTGAGGAAACCAGAGTGATAGTTACATGATAGTTTGTTTTCAGATGCATGCTGTGTATAAACCCCTAATTAAAATAAACGTTTGTCTTTTCACTTTCTTTCTATATTATATTTACATTCTTTAACCTGTTGCAATGACATTAAAAGAACAGTGTTGTTCTGATAGAGCCACTTGTAGACAGCAGCAGAACAATGAGTAGCACCTTGCAAGCTGGAAACAAAAAGGGGGCGTAAGCTGGATTTCTAGTTCTTATTTGTGGTGGCAGAGGTCCTGCTGAAGGCATTTGGTTTTTCTTTTTTTTTCTCTCTTCCATTCAAAAATATATTCAGGATTTCAAAAGAGGCAATCGTCAGTTTTTCAGGTTGAGAACTAAGCAAGCACTGAAGGATTTAACAATTGTTACCGTTGTGGTTCTCTGTTTACCTCAGCTACTTTCAGAAACTTAAAAGGGACTGCTTGTTGTGTTTACTGGTAAATTTTAAACTTTAACTCCAGTTGCACCCCAGATTTGTCTAGCAGTCACTGAAATAATCATAACACTTCCTACAGAAAGTTGTTCAGGAAACAGCGGTGAAGAGAGGAATGGCAGTAACTGGTAGGGACTTGCTTTTAGAATTTACTTTTGACAAGTGACAAAGTATTTCAGCTGAGCTTGTGTCCTGCCTCGCTACTCTAAAATAAAAAAGGACTAACCACTCTGTTCTGTAACTTGTGAGGCAAAAATGTAAATAAGGAACAAAGCCACATTTTCTCTCATAATGTTTTTCACATCCTAATCAATGAAGGCAGACCCAGAGAACTGCTGAATGGAAAACATCCTTCCTTTTAAGATGCACAGCTGGAAGTTATTTTTACAAGTCTGCAAAACTTAAGTAGGAACCTTTAAATTTCCCTTCTGGCTCCCTGAAGGACCTTAATTTATATGGAAAAAAGTTTCTGACAAGCTATTTTTTATTTACCTTCACTTTTGTCTATAGGAAGGATCAAAGCTTGTACTTTTTCGTAAAGTAATTCCTGCATCTTAGCCTTATAAAAACTTCATCTTTCCATGAAAAAATGGCATGGAAGAATGAGTTGGAAAGATTGAAAGGATGTTAGTATTTCTTAAAGATTATTTAACTGATTATTTTCCTCTAACTAGGTCTGAGAGTAGACAGGGACAGAGGATTAAAAAAAGATGTACCTACCTGCTGTTATATTTGTACTGCATCTTTTCTGTGTGCTACAGTATGAGAAAAGGGGGGTGTGTGTCACATCATACAAATATATGAACTTCTGAAATAGGAATTCAAGAAATGCTGCAGTGTCACAGAAGAGTTGTAAGTTAGGTGGGTATTTATTTATGAAACCCTCACCAGAGAGATTCAATCTCTTTAAAAGAGTTGCTCTTGTAGCTTGATGTTCTTCGTAAGCTTCCCTCTTATACACAAAAGACATTTTTTAAAATGAAGAAATTCAGTCAGTACTTGGTACATGAGTAGGATACATTGAATTGAAAACCTCCCTTAAGTTTTGAAAAATCAGGAGACCCATTTGCACAATTTCAAGGTGGTCTATTTTGATATCATTACACTGAAAATATAGGGCTGTGTCACCAAAATATAGAAAGAGGCAGTTTTACTTGGACTAGGATGTATACTGCTACTGATCTTGGATGTCAAACGCAGCAAGAGATTTTAAGCTCCAAAAGATTAAGCGTTCTAAGACCTGATTTGAGCCATCTCATCCACAGCTGTTTAGATTCCAATATGCATGTCTATATGCCAGTTACAAAGATGCTCAGATTCAATATTTAGTCGTCCAGGAAGAAGTAGTTTCCACTCTTCTTTTGTTCCACATCCTTAGAAAGAGAAAAAAGGTCATTGTTACTTGAAGTAGTCTTTGGCAGACTTGAGCACAGTTAAAATAAAAGACACTAAACTCTTTTCTACTTTCCTTACTACTCTTAGTAGTTTCATGTGCTGTTTTCCAGCACAGCAAAACTACCAGGTCAGGCTTCATTTTGTTCCTTATTTTAAAATCTGCTTCATTAAACAGTCATGGCTGCTTTACTGTAAAGGTGCTTCTCTCTTACCTTAATGGAATTGAGTTTGTTTATTCTTGGTCTGTAATTGTTCGGGTCTCTTCTAAAAGTGATTTCAAGCTGAGATAAAAATTTATTCATTCCAGCCAAAAGAGTCTGTGGACTGTTAAGAAAGAAGAACATTTCAGCTACATTTTCAGAGTTTTATACTACACAATTACAGGCAGCTTTATCTCCACCCTGAGCTCACTGAGGACTGGAAATGCTGTATCTAACATACAAGGAGGTGCTACAGTTTTAGTCAAATGCTCTCTCAGATACTCTTTTAGCAGTATCTCACCATGGTACTACAGGTCTTTGGCTGGTGACTTTGCACTCTTTTTATTTTGTATCCACAGGCGTGTGCTGGCACACTGGTTAACGTACAAAGGGAAAAAAAAAAAAAAACAAGTTGCACCAGAAGCAAAATATAACAAAGGTCATAACATACCTTGATGCTGAGGAACAGTTACGTGCTTGTGGTTTTTAAATTCAAACATGCTTTCTTCCAAGGAATACCATCAAAACTGGGGTAGCAGTGGGTTGTAGACTAAGGTGTTTACTTAACCTGGCTTGTGCTAAGTACTTGGAAATTACTCTGTTCTAAAAGCCTGGTTTCTAATAAGGCTGCTCTTCTAAAAGTCTCTGTAATCTACATGAAATTCTTTACAGGAACAAAAGCAGATATATCAAAAGGGACAGCTCTGAAAGAGTAAAACTCAGGTAAGTGTACCTGGCAAGTTGCTGTCAAGACTTGCACAAGATTTGCACACAGGTAACCTTAGTACACTGCAATCTTTTAATCCATCTCAAAGTTATTTTCATAAGCAAAGTTCGCAACTGGTACTTTTTTTCATTCCTTACAATCAATGCCACTTATTTGTTCTGCTCCGGTCATAATTTCGCTGTTGTGCAGTTGCTTAAGGCTGGTTTAGGCCAGGAGCTGGTCGAGGTCTCGGGGTGTAGTTTGAGATCCTAACCAAACCCTCAACTCTATCTCCAGGCAGCCTCTAAGTGAGGGTCAACCTGATTTTCTTTTCCATGATTCAAAAGGAAAGCTACAACCTTCAGGATGCTCTTGGATCACTTGAAATGCAGTTTCTCTGTATTTTTGATGGTGATCTTGCTTACTAATCCAAGCAATCTTACCTGTTTGCCAGTGTGTTCTTGGAAGGAATGCCATCAAAAACAATCACACGATCAGCAAGATATGTAGCCATGATAAAATCATGTTCTACCACAAAAGCAGTTTTTTTAGCATGGAGAATGAAACTGAAATAAAAAAAAAAGAGAGGTTAATGTAAGCTTATTGTAAACCTCCTGCCCATCTCAGTTCCCTTCCCCATGATGTGCACTTTACCGTTTAATGACTCGGGCAGCCATCAGACGTTGTTCAGAGTCCAAATATGCTGAGGGCTCATCAATTAGGTACACATCTGCAGGCTTACCCAGACAAAGAGCTAATGCCACACGCTGCAACTCACCTCCAGACAGTGTTTGAACCTATGAGTGTGAGGGGAACAAGGCCATATTTACTTCAGGTACAGGTCAAGAGTTAAAGACAAGTCAGGATGTTGTTTCAGGCAACTGATACCTCTTGGTCAATGATGTTTTCTATCTGGAGAGGTTTCATTACATCAGTTACAAACTGGGGGTGTGTATAGGCATCTCTGATCTTCTCATGCAGTAGCTGACGGACACTTCCCTGTCAAAAGAAAAATGCTGCCGCTCAGTTTTATGCACCACAAGAAAACAAGGAGAAATAGAACTGATATTTTGTTCCAGGTATAAAAAAATTCTACTTATGTACTACAAACATGCTTTTTGTAGCAAACGCTATACTTAATAAATAAGGCTTAAACATACTGTAGATTTAGGGCTGATTTTCTGTGGTTTGTAGCTGACATTTAGAACTGGGACCTCACCTGTAAAAACACAAATTTTATAGTGTAAATAAGAGCCTTTCCAGTATCTTCAAATAGGTTTCAGCTAAGATATGACACATTATTACCTCCTTCATCAGGAGTAAGTCTTCCTGCAAGCATTCGGATAAAGGTCGTTTTGCCAGTTCCTAAAATAAAATGCAAGTTACAGATTTATCACTTTTTAATAATTTAGACCTCCAACAATTAAGTCACTGATACAAAAAAATATCAAGCAAGCTACTACGTGCTTTTTCGAATGTAAAAGACCTCTTAAAACTACCATAAGCTGGATTTGTAGCTGAGCCCACCAGGTCAGGCATTGTCCTGCAATCTCAGTTCTTATAATGGGGTAAAACAGACAAACACAGTGGCATTGTTACCGCTCAGTAACGTCACATTCTCACTATTAGAGAGCGAACTCATGACATGAAATCTTCACTAGCAAACAAGCAGTTCAACCTGACTCAAACCCAGTAATTTTGAAGCCTGGCTCCCAAAGTGAAAAAAGGCTTTAGGAACATAGTGCTGGAAAAGTAGCTTCCAGCAAAAATTACACTTACCGTTTTCCCCTAACATCACCATAATTTCAGAATCTGTGAATTCTCCAGCTACTATGGATAGTTCAAATTCACCCATCTTTTTTTTCATTCCTGGGTATTTGTACATACACATCTTTTTAACTTCTTCTTCATTAGCTGTCTCAGCCACTTTAAATACCAGAGATGCATCTCGAAACCTTAGGTTTTCTGTTGGAACATAGCCATCTAGGAAAATATTTATGCCTATGACAGGAAGGAAAAAGATCATTAACAAAGGCCTACAAAAACTAAGACAAGATAAATTTCAATTCCTGACTGTAAATTCTTTTCAGGTAAGGAGAATGCTGGATTATAAATGGCACGCTAAAAGCAGCAACAAGACTTCCTCTTTTCAAGTGTGTACATTATGCAAATTGAATGAGAAAAATCTTACTAAATTTAAGTAGAAGCTCTTCCTGAAAACCCACTGTTAGTGATGTGTGTGGGGTTTAAACAAACTACCGCTGTTGGATCCACCGAGTCTCAGTGCTACAAGTGTGGACAATTTAGTTGAACACTACGTACCTCTGCACTGTGCAAACTCTCTCCTGCCCTTTCTCTACTATTTAAAAGGTTTTTTGTGTAACTCCACTCTTTACAAAACAGCTGCAAGTATTAAAATTATGTCCATAGCAAAAGGAAAAGGGCATTTCATAATTGAGATTTCTGGGTTGAGTTATAAATTTAGGATCATGTAACACAAATTCTGCAGAAAAAAGCCAGTAGCTTTTCTGTTGCTGAACTGTAACAGGAAGAAGATATGTTTGCATAAGAGACAACAGGCATTTTGGTATCTTTTTGGGGTATGTTTAAAAAGAGAAATATGGCAAGAATTACCTTCTCTTACACTGAAAGGCATAGTAACAACACCATAAGCACTTGGCACACCATACAGGCAGCAGATAAAGTCAGAAAGATAATCTAACACACTCAGATCATGCTCCACGACAATAATGTACCTGAAAAACAGAGCCAGAGAGATGCTTTTTTACTTCAATGCAAAACATTTTTTCTTCCTTTCGTACTCTAGCCTTGCATAAACAAAAGCTATCAAGGTGATTTTTATTTAATAGGTTTCTTTGCTTTAAACTAAATTCATCTGTTAGTATACCATTTTGAGAAGTCAGCACTTCTGGGGTGATGGACTGGATATTTCTTCCTTGTGTAAGCAGCCACATATTATTACAGTCTAGCAAAACATTTAAAGCTTGTATTTACCTGTCAGGGTTTATTAGAGATCGAATAGTAATGGCAGCCTTCAAGCGCTGTTTCACATCCAGGTAGCTGGAAGGTTCATCAAACATGAAGCTAGTCCCAAAAGAAAGGATCAAGTCTTAGTGAATGCAAGTTTTCTGCATATTCAAACATAACATTTCAACCATTAAGTAAATGGAAAATAAAAATTATCATTATTTGCACTGAGAAAGGGAGACAAAACACGAGAATTATGTACACCTGCCTTGAATATCTGTAGACTGTCACATGGAAATGTTAAAACAGTGTAAGTATTACTTTGCCAAAAGCTTTGACAAAGCTTCGAAAGTTACAAAAAATCAGCAGTCAGGAATCCCATGCACTCATTCTGAGTCATCTTAAATTTAACATGAACTGAAAAGTGGAAAAATACTTTAGAAGACCAGAAGAAGGACATCTTCCAGTAGAGTAAACCAAACCAAACAATAAAACTGACTTGAAACCCACACCAACCAAAAAAACCCAGCAAAACAAAAAAAGACCAGCCCAAACAAAAACAAACCAAAAAATTCATCAAAGAAAAAAAAACCAAAACCCCATAACTCTTCTGATCTTCCTTTCTTGGTCTCCCAAGGAGTCAGGAAACAGCACAGACTAGACAGTAATTTCCTGGTCGCAAGACAGGAGAAGAGGGGAAACAAGCTCCCAGAGGTGGGGAAGCATCTGTACCTTTGTTACTCAGAGAGGCTATGTGAGGTATGCCATCAAACTGGAAACATTTATGGAGGATGAGGGAGAGGTTATGAAGTTATGATACTGAAATTTAACACTATATATACTATATATCAGCTATTTCCAATCAGATTAATTGAAGGGTATAAAACCCAGAGAATATATATCTGGAGTAAATATGGATCTCAGCTGATGAGTTGGCAAAAGAATTTTTAAAAAAATGTTAAAAAATATTAATATTTAAGTATTTTTCAATATTTCAAACAAACATATTATTTCTAACAATAAAAGTAAATTAGAGGACCATACTCTGAGACAGACTGCTAGAAGCAAAGTGTAACAAAAGTAAATGAAACGTACATATCAGCCTTCTGAATGCAAACAACTGCACAAGCAAATCTCTGAAGTTCTCCTCCTGAAAGGTCCTCAACATTTCTTTCTTTCAGATGGGTTAAGTCTGCAAATAAGTGGTTTAGATGTTACAACCAACACAACAATCCATATTTTTATTACCTACAGAAATGTGTATACGCACAACAGACATCCTACACAGAGGAAAACAAGAGGCAGAATAAAGTTTATGTAGTATCAGTATCGTAACGCTTATGGTGAGTCCCAGCAAGTTATGGCTTCTTTGCAGAATTATCTGTATGGCTGCTTCTTAACATGCAGAAGGATTACATTTGTATTTCTTTTTCCACCATATATTTGGTAAAGATTTCTGGCCTAAAAAGAAACTATACCAGTTTTAAAAGTTTTTTTTTTTTTGTCAGACCTGGCTGAAGAGTTATGATTTTCAGGAAAATCAAGTCCCTCAAACATTACAGAAAATGTTGGTGAAGCCAGTATTTTCTAGTCAGCTTAATGATCAGCAAATTTCAAGAATATATTGTAAATATATATAATATATTATGTATATATAATAAAGTGGGACTCAAAGCCCAAGCTCATGGTGGCACAATGCAGCCCCATCTCTACTACTCGGATCTACCAACTGGAATCCTGCTGTTAATTTAGCCACACCTAAATTTAGTAACAACTACATTACAAACACCTACAAAAAACCACCAGGGCAGGACTATGCAGATGTTCTTATTAATTGTGTTAATCTCAGAAGTAAGTGTTACTCCCATTGAAATCAGATATATATGGGCTTTAGGGCCAAGGGGGTGTATTAGAGTAACATTTTCTATATGCAGTGGTAGTCCCCAGAAGGGATGCTGAGACTTCACCACAGCCGTAAGCAAGCGAGAGCACTACAAGAGCGGTGGAATTTTTCGAGGTTTAAAAATAAGCACTTTCTACCATAAACCAGAAACTGCATTAGATCCTGTTAACTAGCATATATCAGATTGCCTTTCCACCAGGAAGTATTATTTGTGTGGGTTCAGATATGCTTACAGCCTGCCCTAGACTTTAAACTAAAGTACCTTTACTTTGTTCTCTTTTTTGAAATTTGTATAATTTACATCTTCTATGACATTATAGTAACTTTATTTTGCCATTAAATATGAATTTCTCCAAGGCTTTGAAATCTGACTTTAGAAAATTACTTACCAAGCTGCTGACATACAACGGTTTGTGTCTTAGTTTCATCTTTCCTATCCAGAATTGATCCCACTGTTCCCTGCATAATAATAACAAAAAAATAAAATTCCTGAGAATACTGGATTTTTATACTGAATTATGCTGCTTAAATAAAACTTTTAAACACCAAAGAAGTACTACAGAAGAGGCCCCCAGCCTTCTATTAACTCATGAAACTTCTCACCTTTGCAGCTTTAGGAATCTGGTCCACATACTGAGGTTTAATGATAGCTTTCAGGTCATCTTCCAGAATCTTGGTAAAATAGTTTTGTAATTCAGATCCTCGGAAGTAAGTCAAAATTTCTTGCCAGTCAGGTGGATCCTGTGACAAAATTAAAGCCTGTGTTTACTTCCACCATTAAAAAAACATAATTTAAAAAATCTATTTTTAAAATTCTAATCAATACAGCAAATAGAATATGCTTGTAAGACTAAAAAAAAACACAAAAAACCAAACCACCACCACCAACCAAACAAACCAAAAACCCACAAAACCCAAAAAACAAACCAAGCTGTTGTTTCTGCAAAGTTTCCATTAAGAAAAAAAAAGAATCATAAAATTGCAAAAACAAAGTTTAGATTTTTTTTCCAGGTGTGACTAGACTTTAAAAAAACCCCCAACGTTTTAAATCTGCACAGTTAAGAAGCTACTGAACTGAACCAACTGCATGGGGGAGATGACAATGTGCATTAGTGTAACCATACTTATTAGCTATCTTGATATAGCTATTTCAAAGGAAAAGGATTGGACTGATAAATGCAATAAAATTTGGCAATTTTCTCAGGAGTAAGTCACTGGCTGATAATAAGGAAAGTGCCAACGTCCTCACAAATTCTATCGTGTGTCCACAGATACAAAAATTCAGTCAAAAAATATAAACACAGCTATCTAGGTTGCCAACTCTATTTTACTGGTTGCCAACTCTATTTTACTGGTGATACATACATCATATTTTCCAAGGTTTGGCTTCTGTTTTCCTGCTAAAATTTTCAAGGCAGTTGATTTTCCAATACCATTGGTTCCAACCAATCCCAGTACTTCACCTGGACGAGGGATAGGCAACCTGTACACAACACAGATAACTTTGGATTATTTTAATGCCATCAGACACCAACATTTGCTGGTCGAGTAAATGTTTTAAAACATTTCCAGACTTTCTGATTATTTCAGCCTACTTTGTTTACTTGCCAACATATAATTCAAATTAAATCAAATTTCCTTAAAAATAGAAGTTCGTAAGAAATATTTAAGGGCAGTCTGTTTTTTTAAACAAGGCCCCTGTCAAATGAACACTAACATTTATTTCAGTATAATACTTTTTTAATAAGAAAAACGTTTCATTCCAAAAGGAAGCTGCCATGGTAAGAACCAAAAACACTTTGATATGCACTGTGTTTAGACTGTCAAAAACCTGAAATTTTTTGTCTCTTTTATAATGATTTGAAAAACAAAATACCTGTGAAGTTTGAAGGCATTGGCACAATATCTATGTGTTGTTTCTTTCTCCAGGTTGCTAGGCAAGTTAACAATTGACAAGGCTCCAAAAGGACATTTCTATAATTGAAATAAACTATAGATTATTAGTGCACAAACAATTTATTAACAAAAGACCATGTTCTCTACTGCACCCAGCTGTGTATTTACATTTTTAAATTAACTTCTATCAAATTTCATTTACAGGGTCAAGTTGACAAAAAAAGTCTGAATCAGGTTTTTCAAATTAAGTAGTCAGCAATTTAGATTGTCAGCCTACAAGTAAGGCCCACTGCATATATTCTCCATCTCTTTCACAAAAACATCTTTCTGCTCTGGGGGTCTACAGACACAAACCAACCAACCCAAAGTCAATCAAAGCCACAAAAAAACCTGTTACAATCCACACCCTGCAACCCAACCAGTTCAGTAAATTGACACAGTTGTTCACTTTCTACAAACAGTAACAATTAACTAAGTCTGATTAGTCCAGGAAAGAAAACTATCTTTTCAAGTTACAGTATGCATTACTAAATATAGTAGCAAAATAAGGACAAAGCAGCACTTTAAATAAAACAGCCAAACTTTTACCTTGATGCAAATACCACAACCAATACAAAGTGTTTCTGAGATCCATGCTATTTTGCTCTGTGATGTGACTTCTATGCAAAGTTTTCCTGGTGAAAAAGAAATAAGATAAGGTCATTCAAGTTTCTGGTGAATCAGAATTCTTGCCAGTACTATTAAATTTCACAGAGGAACACATAACATGAACATTTACTGAAGCTTCAGATCTTTCAAGGGCTTGAAAAGTGCCATTATTCCTAGAATTGTCCATGCTTTCAGTGACAATTCTAAAGGCTTTATGAAACAAAAGCTTGAACGATATACAAAAAAACAGCAATTATAAAAAACATTCATTTTATTAGAACTGGATTTAAAACTTCTCCAATTGCTTAAATACTTTTTTGTTGTCTCTCTTACCCATTCGAACCACAGGACAACTTTTCTTGCATTCCTGACGACATTTCTTTGGCTTACACTTGTCATGGTTGACTATAGCAATTCTTGTTAATTTGTCTGCCATAATGCACAATTTAGGGTTAAACACATACACCAATTACAAGAAGGAGTAGAGGAAGTCTTCCAGATCCTAAGGGAAAAATAAGAAAAAACCCAGAAGAGACCATGTTATTGACAGCACAGAGAACATATCTGAAGTTATTACTTGCAGAATTCAGAGATGAAAAATGCAAAATAATTTGATTTCTCTTTTAAGCAACATGGCAAACAGGGCAAAGTCTCAGATACAAGTAGTTAGAGTACAGACATGTAAATAACTGCAAAAAGTCTTTAACATCAACTTTCCATCCCATTACTATTTCTCCAGTGTAAAAATAAAAATGTGATTATATCTGGAAATGGATTTGTTTCCAAGAAAAGCATGTAAGAACAGAATCTATACTACTGCAAATTTCAGCTTCACAACATGCTTTGTGTAAAGCACCCTTCTTCACACTACAGTATCTGTTAAAAGTCAAATTGTGACTACAACTATTACTCCAAAAATATGATTATAATACACTTACAAACTGTATCTCAATATTCTGTATTACAGCATTAAAATACTCTACAATTTAAAGCAGTTTTAGAAAGGGAAAATTTGTAGTTACATATAAAAAAGTAAACAAGGCAATGTGAGCAGAGATACATGATGAAGTCTGACAGATCTTGAGCTTCATTAGGATTTCAATAACTACAGTTACATTATGCATTTCCTAATATGGCATCAACGCCTACAATATATTTCAATAAAAATAAGCAAGATTCTTTATGAAGAAGGTAGGAAGGCTCCACAGGCCGGATGGATGGGCCAAGGCCAATGGTATGATGTGCAATAGGGCAAAATGCCAGGTCCTCCCTCGGGCCACGATGACCCCCTGCAGCACTACAGGCTGCGGAAAAGTAGCTGGGAAATGGCCCAGCAGAAAAGGACCTGGGGGTGCTGGTTGATAAGTGGCCGAACAAGAGCCAGGTGGCCAATGGTATCCTGGCCTGGATCAGCAATAGTGTGGCCAGCAGGACCAGGGCAGGGATTGTACTGGTGAGGCCACACCTCAGGTGATGTGTCCAGTTCTGGGCCTCTCAGTTCAAGAAAGACATTGAGGTGCTGGAGCAAGTCCAGAGAAGAGCAACAGAGCTGGGGAAGGGCCTGGAGCACAAGTCCTACAGGAAGCAGCTGATGGTGTTCTTTAGCCTGGAGAAAAGGAAGCTCAGGGGAGACCTCATTGCTCTTCACAGCTACCTGAAAGGAGGTTGTGGCAAGGTGGGGGTCAGCCTCTTCTCCCAGGTAACAAAATGACAGGACCAGAGGAAATTGCCTCAGGTTGCACCAGGAGAGGTTTAGATTGGACATTAGGAGAAATTCCTTCAAGAAAGGGGTTATCAAGCATTGGAAGGGACTGCCCAGGGAAGTGATGGAGTCACCATCCCTGGAGGTATTTAAAAGTACAGATGTGGCTCTCAGGGACACAGGTTAAGGGGCAATGCTTGGTTAACGGTTGGACTTTTCCAACCTAAAAAATTCAATAATTCTATGGAGTACTAGACAATTAAATATTCCTAAAATCACAAATAAATGCATGCAGAGAAGTGAAATTAAGACTTGTATTCCTCTCTACAACAGTCTCTTTCCTTGCTTAGCTGTTTGTAATGTGCACTGACAAGCACTGGATTGTACTGGGACTGTAGAGCACTTTGTACTCAACAGCTGCAGCACAGGGAAGGAAGGACAGAGAATTTTAAACCCCGATAGATAAAAAAAGGTGGAATGTGTTTTGAAGTAGATTTATATTTCCTTTACTATATGCACTCATAGTACTGAGAATAACAACCATAATTTTATCTTCCTTTGAGCAACACACACCTAAGGACAATTCCCTCCACTCACTCCTGCTCTAGAATAAAAGAACAACTGAATTATGACAAACACCTTTTTTTAGGTCAAAAGAAAGGCCACAAATAAAGTACGAAGCATTTCCATTTCACCACCACTAAATAAAGGCAGCCTTACAGATGATGCCAATTCAAAATCATCTCAGTGCAATATGTATCAGTAGTTCAATGACACAACAGGAAAGGAGTCTTGAAATACTTCAGGTTTCCACACAGTCCAAAGGTGCAGTTTCACCCAATAAAAGGATTCCAATATTTTTTATTAAAGGAAGTATTTTCTGTTGGATGTCTAGTTCTTTGTTTCACCAAACTAAAGCATCCTGCAGTAGTTTATAGACTATATTTACTACATACAGCTATTATACGAAGAAAGGTTGTGACTTTCAAATTCCTGAAGGAAGAGACCAACATCTAACAACAAGCAAAGGTCAGAAAGACAGATGTTATTGTATCTTTAAATCCACACTACTACCATAGTTATGGATATTTTAAGCGGTTCCTTTTTAAAGTGGTAGTCTTATTCCTCTTCTCAATTTCCAAATTATTTTTAAACTAATGTCAAGAGATAATTCTTGATCAGATATAAATGAACATAACAATTAGTCATGCTGCCAACCTTATTGTGGCAGTTTCTACTTTCAAAATTTCAATTTTTTTCTTTAATATCCTAAGTTTCCTAAGCCAGAAAGTCCTACCAATGTAGCTGATGATTTAAAATGACTAATAAAAATTAAGAAGTGATTCAACAATTCTTCACTGTCAGACCAGACTGATAAAGTAGGGCTGAACATTGAAATTACATCCCTAGACCAGGCCAACAGACATGGAATAATGAGTTTGCAGTTCTCACTTTAACAGATAACAAGAAACTGAAAGCCTTATTTTTAAAGACTACAAAGATGTTTGAGTCAGGGTCATTTTCTTGGGGACAGATACTGGATTTTGTCATTACTTCAAATAAAGTTACATTCTTTGGAAAGAGACCCCAGTGCTTTTCATTGAAATCCTATAGTTTACAGCGCACAGAGTATCTGGGGGTTAATCACCCTCTGGTTTCCCAAAGGAAGTGCCTGATCTGGACCAGCCTTTTCTCCAACGAGACCTGAGCAGACAGACCCCACTTTATCTTCCAGGCAGGGCTCCGACAAGCTGGAAACCCGTTCTGTGACTTACAAAAGCAACTTCCAGAAGACAAACCTGTCCCAGCCCCCCAAACTCTGCTTGAGGCTCCTGCCTGAGCAGTGCTGATAGCAGCCCAGACAATCCCTCCCCTCTGTCACCCACTGCTCCAGATGGTGTTTAACCTAAAGCTCCAAAGCAGAAGAGTGGGATGGGGGCATACGGTGTGAAACAATCAGTTCTTGCCACCTTCCTCAGCAAGCTTTCCCACCCAGTCTAGGCAGAATAATCCCACTGAAGTTTGCACTCAGCAATGAATCGACCCCTGGCTCGTAAGCAACAAAACAGCTTAAGTTTGTGGGGGTTTTTAATTCTAACTCACTTATATGGGAAAATGCCCATTTGTGGTGAATAGTTTTGAAGGGGTCACAGAAGTAAGTATGTGCACCTTTATTTATACACATTTATTAAAGTGCTCAGTGGAGGCGAAAAGAACTAATGAACCAGCATGGAGACATCCACTCCTGCCTCCCTGCTCCCATCTACATGATGAAAGTGTCAGTTTATCCAGAACTCTCCAGTGCTCTTGAACTTTCTTCAGAAAAATAATATTTGTGACTTCTGTCACTCCTGCAGTATTTCCAGGACTGTGCTGATGTCTATGATGTCAACTGTCCACAAGAGAAAAACCAGTAATTTCTACTTAGAAGCAAAATAAACCAACTGTCCAAACCCAGACTGAACTCAAGTTACATTTTTATGTGCAGTCAGTTGGGTGGCATTTAAGTTGACATATTGAATGGGATGGGCTGATTCCAAGGTGCAGACAGCAGAACTCTCAAGACACTGCACAGGTCAGCAGTGCTACAGCACAGCACATCAGGAACTGTTCAGGGTAGTCAGCACTTACGGGGCAGGAGAAACTGGTACTCAGAAGCATTTAAGTTCGTGACTGCATTTCTCCTTTTCAAATCAAGAAGAACAGAACAAAAACCAGTATGAAAATATTAATTTGTTACTAACTACACGAGTAAAGCACTGTTTCGAATTACTGAATGACTACAGAGTGACAACAGAAAATCTTCCCAGAATGATGGACGGACAACACAGGTGAAAGAGTGAGAAAATGAATAAAAACTGCTGGCAAAAGAAAACATTCTAAAAACCTTGACAGTGTCCTTTATTGAAGCCCAAAGCTGCCCACTAAGTCACTTAATACAAAAAGTAAAACAAGTCTAAAAATAAGGCATAAAACATGTTATCACAAGTCAGCATTCTTAGACTGTCTGACACAGCTGCTGCATGCTCTGACACACTAGATTAAAAAAAAAAAAAAAAGCAGCACATATACAGGCCTTGCTGTCTAACACAAAAGGCAACAGAAATGTACAATCTGTAGAACAAGTGTAACATACTTGTATTAATAATATTTATTTCTTTCACAGGCATTGGAGCTAAATTAAAATTTACTAAGGCAAGGCAATTATGACCAAGAAGGATTTGTAAATGCATTGAATTATTAAACTTAAACAACGAATCACTAAAAAAAAAGTAAATTAGGACTGACATAGGAGCAAAGACCGTTCAGTGAAAAGATGTGAAGGCAAGGTCTGAGTTCAGAATTGTGCCATACTTCAGTTCTTCTGCACAAAAACAGTGAACATTTAATAAAATTACATTCCATCAGGACCTCAAAGATAAATGCTGTGGAAAGAAGTGAGGATGAGCAGCATTTCCAGTTTCCTTTGAAAACAATTAACCTTAAGAATTACCTCTCAATTCCACTGCTGATGAATTACATACAGTCACTCCGTAACAAGAAAGTTAAGAATCCAAATGCCCAAAGAATATTTAAATGAATTTAAAAGACAAACCAGATTTTCCAACTGCATATGGAAGATCACTTCACTGTTAAGTGTCAAAGCAGAAACAAAAGTAAATGCTACAAGAACAAATAAAATCCACCAAGAATTAAGAACTAGTCAATGCTTGAGCTTTTGATGCTTGTTTTTGAAACTGAGATGATGTAAAAAAAAGAAGTTTAGACATGTCCCAAATTTACCTACTGTATTAAATCATTATGTTACTCATAGGGCACGACGTGAATATGAAAATACAACATTAACATGAAAGCATATGGTCAATTATACTGATGCTGCAGAAGGAGTGGGTGTGTTTAGGTGGTGCTGAACACTATTAATTATCACTTGTTCTTTAATATTTCCTTTCAACATAAAGTGAAGTGCGTGAGAATGAACCATAAATTAGCAATCTACTACAAGGAGTACTTCTCGACCACTTCCTTAGGACTGGAATTTAGGCAACCACAGCAGTGAAACTTGAATCAGAACGTGAAAACTGTCACAGGCACTCGCAGGTGAAATGGCCAAGTGCATTCCATAGAGAAAACACCATCACGGTCCTTGAGAAAAGCCCTGCCAAGCTTTTCTTTAGTTTTTACATATACGTTGTAAAAAAGAGTCCTACCCTTTCCACATTATGGCACTCGCAAGAGGCCTCGATCTCCTCACCGCCCCACGTGGGTACCGGCCTCTCCCCAGAGCTGGAAAAACATGGCTTTCCACTCCCCACCCCCCGCAAGAGAATGAAGTCCCCCGCTTTCCCAGGAAGAAAATGCCGGCATTCCCTTTCCCAGAGCTAGGCGAGGAGCCCTCGCAGCAGCCCCAAGGAAGCCATTCCCGCGGCCGGGAGCAGCGGCAGGGACTGCGCTCCCTGACCCCAGCTGGCACAAAACCCGAGGCAGACGGGATGACGCGCCGCGTGTGCGAGCGGTGCCGGCCCGGGCCGTGCCCACGTCGCCAGTGAGCCGCGATTCCCGGGAGCCTCCAGCGCCGAGGCCCGAGCGGGGCGCGGGTGAGCCGACCCCTCTCTCCCGCGGTGAATGGGGGCGAGGCCGCCGCCCACGCGGCGGCGGCGGCCGGGCCGGCAGCACGGCAGGGGGGAGGGGGACCCCTTCCCTAGCGTGCGGGAAGGTGGCAATTCCCTGCCGGAGTTACTCACCGGGAGCCGTGCGGGGGGAGCGGGGGCGCCGAGGGGGTGGGAGCGCGCGCGGCGCCCTCGCACCGGGGCGGGGCGGCGGGGGGGGGTGTTGGGGAGGGAGCAGCGTCCGGTGATCCCGCGCGCGGGCCCGCGCGCGCAACGTGCTCGCGCCGCCGCCGCCACCCGGCCAAGATGGCCGTCGCGCCCGAGGGGCGGGGAGAGCAGGAGAGGGAGGGATGGGAAAGCGGCATCACCGTGGAGAGGAGGGGAGGAGAGAGGGAAGGGCGTTTCGGCTCTCGCCGTTGAGACTCTGGGCCGTGGGGAGGGAGCGGCGCCTCCCGGTAAGGGGCTCCCAGAGCAGAGCCGTGTTGACCCATGTCCATGCCGGGTTTCAGCACAGAAAGGTCTTACTGGCCTTTTAGCCCGCGCTGCGTAGATGATCACAGGCAGCAATAACAGTCAGAGCAGGTGTTTCCTCTCTCAAGGAGAGGCGCTGCCGTTCCCTTTCACGGCCGCAGTTTCGGCGTTCAGAGCCGAGCTTCAGTATCGGACACCCCCGGGGACTGCTACGACACGGAAGACACCGGGACGGAACGGTCCCGCTGGCCTTCACCTGCCCCGGGCAGCCCGTCACCTGCACCTGGCACACCGGGGCTGCGCGCTTGCCCCCCTTCCCCCCCCCAGGGGAGCACTTCCAAGCACTAGCAAGAGCCTGCCACCGGAATTCGCATTCCGAATCCAACACTAAGCACGCCCAGCGGTCGATCCCGCACGAGGAGCCACCGCAGGGAGCTCCGGCGGCTCTCTTTCCCCGCCCCTGGACGCGGATCCTGTGAGGGGCGGCCCCGGCGCCTGAGGGAGGGCGGGGCTGCGCGCGCGCCCTGCGGCCCTTTGGCCGCCGCCTTCACCCATCGCTGCGGGCGGCTCCCGGCGGGATCAGGTGGGAAAGGTGGGACCTGCGGCTCCGGAGGTGGGCTGAGGGGAGGGGGAGGGAGGAAGAGGAGGGATACCCTGTGCATGCGGGAGCTCGGCGGGCTGAGGCGGTGCCGGGATCGGGGGCTGGCCGAGCGGGTCCCTCCCGCGAGTGTCTCGGGAGCGGGAGAGCGGAGCCTCGGGGCTGGGGATCCAGCGTGGCCAGGGTGCTGCTGCTTTGTTATCGATATTTAAGCTTTTTGCAGACCTGCGGGCTACGGAGTTGTAAAATTGGTTAATTAAACAAGAAGTATGTGGGGGGAGGGCTACCAAAGAACCTGACCGAGAGCAGCTCTTGGTTTGTCAAAGCCACTTCATCCTCTGGGTGCTATGGTTTTAAAGGCGGCTTCCACCTAATGTTTACACTTCTCACGACTTGTAAAGAAGTGCTCGAATCCTTTAATGAACTGTTTACATCCTTACCAGGTAAGTTTGGAAGTCTTGGCTTTCACTAAAATATATTAAAAAACGCGCAATATTTATTTAGATTGATTAGGGATACACGTATAAAATCGCTAATGTAGTTCAATTGTGCAGTTGCTTTAATAACCCTTAGTTTTAGTGAAATATATTTGTGACGATGAAAGACTGTAGTAATTTTCAGTAGTAGGCTTAAAGTGATACTCTGAAGGCAGAGTAAAAATAGTGTTTAGAATTGTATCGAGAGAATAATCTGAGAAGCTGAACATTCAGGTAAACGTTTGTTGCAGTAGGGTGCTACTGAACGCTTACTGTCAGTATTAAATGTTAATTAAATATTAGTAATTTGAATGTTTAATGTTGTTGTTTAATGCTCCATCTGAATAAAACATAGTAAGCATAGCGAGGGTCTGGTTTTTGAATATATCTGGAGATCTTTAAAGGCCTTAAACCAGCAACGGTCCAGCCTAAGAAAATGGGAACAGGGAAAAGAGCTTGTGAGGTAAGATGAGTAGAGCAATTAAGAAAAGCAGGGAATCTAAGGTATGAAATTTCCTTCTGTTATGAAGAACAGGAAAAACAGTCTTATGGATGTTGCAAAAGCGCTGGTGTAGTCAGTGCAGCCTTTGTTCAATTTTCTTGGAAAACCTGTAGTCAGATAT